CCAATGCTTCAAATGACCTATACATGGGCTAAGAAAGACTTGTATCTGGTTGTCAACAATAACATAGGGAACTCAGAAGAAAAATACAAAAAATCTCTCAATCGGTGTCACAAGAATGGACCTTTCACTAAGAAATTCAAACAAATTAGTTTTGTTTTCTAATTTCTGCATTAGAAATTTAGAACATTTCAATCTTTGCAACCCTGAACACTTCCAAACTACGCTTAGTGATTTTGTAAACTAGAACTTCACCTTTTAGAAAAATTGATAAGTTAACTCATGGGATTGATAAAAAAACTCTAATTCAGTATATTATTTGATTGACATATATACTTGGGTGATTGTCGATTACTACGGAGTAATGTCGGGCATCATGCAGTGTTAAATAAGGGTTTTGACATTATGAACTGATGCAAGCAAAAAAGTTTGTTGATGAAACTAATATTAGGATATAAACTTAAATTATGGGTACTCTCTCAAGTAAATTAATAAAATTAGTAGATATTATAATTCATAGGAAGATAAATATATTATGTATTCAAGAAATTAAATGGGTTAGCTAACATGGTAAGAAAATTGATAATTTAGATTTTAAACTTTGGTATTCATTTAAAAGTCTTACTAGAGATGGTGAAGGCATAATTATAGATAAGTGTTTGAAATATAATATTATAAAAATTAAAAAACTAAGATATAGAATTATAGTTCTTAGTATAGTTATTGGTACTAAGATTATTAATATTATAAGTGTTTATGCTTCGTAAATAGATTTGAATGTATGTTCAAAAGAAAAATTTTGAAATGAACTAAAAGAATTAATACAAAAAATGCCTTTTAAAGCAAAAATTTTATTGTAGGAGATTTAAATGAATATGTTGGTAGAGTGCTAGAAAATTTTATAAGTATTTATGATGGTTATAATTTTAGAGTAACTAATGAATAAATGTAGAGTCATATTGAATTTTACTTTAGCTTATGATTTATTATTGTTAATACTTTATTTAGAAAAAAAGTTGAGACATAATATGACTTATAAGAATGGATCCATTAAAACACAAACTGATTATTTTCTTATAAGAAAAATACATTATTAAAATTGTAAATATTGTAAAGTTATGTCAAGTGAAAATTTAGGTACCAAATATTGATTATTGAATTTAAATTTTAAAATAAAGGTTTTGAAGCAGAAAAATATAACAAAACCTTATCACATAATTAGGTGAGAGCACTTAAAAGTCTTATAAAATTATTTTTGAGTAAACTTTAAGGTATTAAATTTAGGAAGTTCATAAAAAATTAATATTATGTGAGATTAAATAACGAGAATTATTAAGCAAGTTGTGAAAGATGTGCTTGAAGAATTAAAGAAAAAACTCTTATAAATAAAATAATTATGGTGGGATAATAATGTAAAAAAAAAACAACAAATAAGAAATTTTATCATAAAAATTAATTGGGATGTAAAAGCTTAAGAATTGAAAAAAAATATACGGTGGCACATATGAAGTCTAAGAAAATAATAATTATGCTTTTAGTGATGTTTATAATAAATTAAATAATAAAAATTGTGAAAAATACATAGATAAACTATCCAAACAAAAAGATAAGAAAAGGAAAGAATTAGTTCAAGTAAAATGTAAAATGTATTAAAAATAAAAATTAAAAGGTGTCTTTCTTAGATGAACATATTCAATATAAGTGCGTGAGATATTTAGATAAATTTTTTAATAAAGATTGTGAAAATATGATTGAATTTAGTGATCATAATATCGTCAATAAAAATAAGATATTTTATTTTTATAATCACAATAAATAAAACAGAAGTTTAGGATTTAATATTATTTTTTTATCAAAATTGTTTTAGGATTTCGTTGTATAAATGAAATATTAATTTATTAAATTGGGCTCTTTTAATTAATGTTAGGAAATCAAATGTGGAATAAATTTAAATTTGTATCAATGAGAATGGATAACTGCGAAGGAAAGGTTATAAGATAAATAAAATTAAAAATTTAAATTAATTAATTTAAATTTAATACTTAAAATATTAATGATGGATTATATTAATGTATAACAACAACTAAAACAGAAGAGTAATTGATTCCAAAAGATTTGAAGATAAGGAATGTGAAGTTGCACATGAGGAGAACAAGAGAAAAAGCCAAGTTGGGGTTTATTTTTAGTTACTTATTAAGAGAAATTTCATTTATATAACAATGAATTGTGATTAAAAATTTGAAAGTAAAGACAGAAGAACATTTTAGGTTGAAGGAAGAAGAGGAAAGTTTGTGGCAAATAGTTGGTGCTAATATGGAAATTTATTTGTAGTCAATTTAATTATGTTATTAAGTATTAATCTTAAAATCTTAGGAATTATAATTATGTGTGTAAATCAAAAGAGTTGAAAGGGGTTGTTATTTTGACAGAAGAAAAAAGAGAAAAAATTGAGGTATGCATTAGTTTATAAGAATTATAAATTTAAATAAAGGAAAGGGACGTCAACGGTTTTGTGTAGGAGTAACAAATTATAGTAAGTAGTTGAGAATGTGAAAGAGAAAGTCCACATATTTAAATGAATCATTTCATAAGGTGAAATCAACGTGAGTAATTATGGTTTTATTTGCACAAAATTTATTTTCTTTTATTTAAGGGTATTTGTGCTTTCAAATAAACATTTTATTATTTCAAAAAGGCTTAAAAGTATTTCTATGATTAACATTGTATCACCTTTTGCATTGCACAAAAAAACAGTTAAAATGAAATTAAAGGTTGAAAAAAATTATATACAAGTTAAATAAAAGATCACGATTAAGTCTATCTTGAGTCACTCCCTCATGATACTAGTTGGAGGTGTTATTTTATTCACGCACTTTACAACAACAACAACAACAACAACAAAGCCTAAATCCCACTACGTGGGGTCGGCTACATGAATCCTTTTTCTCCATTGCGTCCTATTTAGTGTCATATTTTCATTTAGTTCTAATAAATTAAGATCACTTTTTATATAATAAGCCCAAGTCTTCCTAGGTCCACCTCTACCTTTCTTAATATAAGTCGAATCTAAAACATCCCATCTCCTAATCGAATCATTAGATGGTCGACGCTTAAGGAAAAAAAATAAAAAATGATTGTATCTTTATAGTACAAAATGAAAATGAAAATAAAAGACTTTGTATCATTGTTGGTACAAATTTTTTTATGTGCCCTAAAATGACTTTTTAAAGTAAGAAAATTAAAAAAAGGTAATTTACTAAAATAAAAATTTTTATTTATAAATTGATCAGCATATTCCTTTGTGCAATCATGTTATGCATTCACATATAAAAATTTACTACATATTAAAATAGTAATTATTCATTAAATTACTTTAAACTTAACAAGCTATTTAAGTATTTTTCAGAAAAATCTCTGCTAAATTGATATTATTGATAAGGAGTTTGTTTACAGACGAAGAAAAACTATTGGAATTAGGTAGCAAACTAATGAATTTTATGTTTTGGTTATATGTTTTGTCATTTTTATAATAGTAATTATTTTACTGTATAACACTGAATAATTTTATGTATCTTGTTAGATGTTGTTATCAATGCATCTAGCTAACATCTGTAAAAAAGATTCACGTCTTTATATTTTTACAAATTTCAATAAAAAGTTAGATTTAAAAATCAATGAAAAGGAAGAGGCGGTTTACACTATAATGATGCTCAACAAGCCAATGCTTTTCAGTACTAGCAATGTATCTAGCTAAGAAGTTAGGTGGCTTGAGAATTGTCAATCTTATATCTTTTACTCTGGATTTTTTGATAAAATGAATTTTAAAATCAATAAAAAATTAAACTGTTCTCTTGCGGTTCTACTATTCATGACAAATACAATAAGGTAAAGTCAATGGTTTTTGGGTTTTCCTATGGCCTAAATCTCCTTTTTACCAAAGATGTCTAAAATAAGTACTAAAGCCTTTATCATAACATCCAATAAGGTGCTTATTTCAAAAGTAAGTTTTCGTAAGCTATCTGGATAGAAGATTCCTCTTTAGCAATTAGATGTTCACATTAATCTGAAAATGCTTGGAACCAAAATTGTTCTATCAATGCTCAACTCAATCTGTTAGATAATAGATGGTGCATTGGTTGGAATAGAATTAATCCATATTATACTACCTCTCTAATTGTAAAGTGATTCTCTTTACTAGCTGGATTAAGCCTGATGTAGAAATGGACAACTTTTTGGAAGATTATGAATAGCAAATTTATCGTCGAAATTTCTGTATATACATAAATTTTTATGAATGTTGGTCTAAGATCCCCATTTTATGATATCATCTAAAAATAAATTGCTTCTTCAAACATCTCTATCCGTTGCTGGCTATTTTATAGCAGGAAATTTCCAAACATTTCTATTTTATAGCATGGTATAATTCAAATTATGAGTCATGTATAAAGCTTACTCAACAGAAGATTTTCGCTTGTTATTTAACTTTCAAGATTTAGAAAAGAATTTTCAAAGCCTATATTAAACTATGCATTCTTTGTTTACTAAGTATAGGCATAAGCATATCAATGAAATCTTTATAGAAGTATGGTTTTTGTTCCTCTTAGCTGTTCTTTGGGTGATTTGGATGAAATAAATAGCATAACTTCCAATCAATCTTCCATAAACATAAAGATCTTTGCTTCGATATCACCAACAAGCGGTTTTCAAGGTCGAGAAAAAACAAAGGAGAAAGGACGTTCTTGAGTTGGGGAATAATATCAACAACTTCTTCCTTAAAGCTGATTTTGGAATTTGACTTTTGTTCCTAGGTTTATCTTGTAATTTGTATTTACTTATTTTTCCTAAATGAGAAGGAAACTTATAACCAGTTTTATCACAAAAATGAATAATAATAATAAAGAACAAAATAAAAGAGCAATGTATCATCAAGCAACGCATTATAGAGGCCAAAGGTCTAAAATAATTGAGGAATCAAAACTTTGTCAATCCAGAAAACATGGTGATATGATGAATTTTACAATTGACTGCTTGACTAATATGTAGTGTTTGTCCAACTAATCTAATTCTGAAAGCATAATGACAGAATGACCAATGCTACAGATATAGAAAAGATAAACAGCAAAGAGATTACCAGAATGGTTAACTTGTTTAGAAATAAACATACATATTTGCAAATACTATGTAGGATTCTGTTCTGATAATCTACTTTGACCGAACACTCTTCTCAGCAATAGACCATTCAATTTTCATGCTTTCACAGCAGTCATTGAAAATGCTATCTATCAACCTTATTCAGTGGAATAACTTCCTGGTTTCTACTGTGACTAAAAAACAAAGCACTGTCGTTCTCTACAAGTAACTGCAATGAAATAATAGCCAATACTATCACTAAGCAAAACTGAAACAATAAGCTATCCCACAGTAGCTGACTCAGAAGAAAGAGTTTCCAACTCTTCAACAGCAAGGGCATTTCCACTCAACACTTCCATGCCAGAAGACCTACAGGTAAAATAGAAGACGGCACTCATCATAGAATCAACCAGAAGAACAAACGAATACATGAGGACCAGAAGAGGCCCTTCCCATATACGAGAAGAACCATCTCCATAGCTCAATGTTTTCACCCTGTGCTCGAATAACCCTGCAACAAAAGCAGAACCAATGGCAGACCCAAGAAATATCAGAAGCCCTGCTTGCGTCTGCCCCTTAACTAACCTTACTGACCGCAGAAAAGCCATCGGTCCTGATGCGTCCTCCAATACAGATATCACAATAGCAATATTGCATACTATAATAGTATGGGCATAAGCCACCGAAAACCCTAAAACTGTAACCAATGCTGGATACACAATGATCTCTGGAGGATAACCCAATACAGCAAGTGAATTGCAGACGACAACTATGAGTACGATGAAGATAGCAAGGCAACCTACAATTGCCGCACAAACCAAAATATAGGTCGACACAAGGCTCCTCCAAATCCTACGAGCCATTCCCATAAATTCTGTGGCTATAACTTTCTTTCCAGCATAATTGCAGGCCACGGAATAAGCAGTGCAGGCCCGGGCTAGAAGAAGAAAAGTTATCAACAAAGGGAAGCAAAAGGCAGAAGAGACAATGGTGCCTGCAAGATGATGGCAGATCTGTTTGATGAACTGTGTGGCCGGTAATCCATTGGTAACCGCAAGAAGCATCAGTCTGCGTCCGAGAGCAGTAACGATAGCCTTGTCGACAAGGAAATTGGAGAGCAAAGCGGTGGATACAGGACAAATAAGAAGAGCCATGATGGTCAGAAAAGTGGAGGGATCTGTGCGGAGGATTCGGGCAGTCTCCCTCAGAATCTCCAATGCGTTCATGTGCGGGATGGCCTCAACGTTGGAAAACTCTAGCGGGACGGGGGAGATGACCGCCTGTGGGGAGAGTTCAGAGACGATCGGATGATCCATAACAGCAATATCAAATCTATCTCACAGCTTATTACACCAATTGAAGAGATCAACGCTGACATCCCATTTATGATGTGCTCGCTGCAGCCATTTTCGATAAAACGGCCCGAAATCAAAGCGGACGTCAATGGCTCAGGAATAAATTGTAGAGCGGATCAAGAGAGACTTATGAAAAGAGAAGGAGGGCCGTAGAAACAGAGTTGCGAAGTGTATCCCCCCTTTCAGGAGCATTTCCTCGAACAGTTGGAGAGGGGATCCATGTCAATGAAGAGAATCAAAACAAGGGAACAGCGTGTGATTAGAGCAAGGGTAGGTTAAAGACGACGGGGAAATGGAAAGGGAGAGAGAGAGCAACGAGAACGAAGAAGACTTGAGTTTCACAGCGGTGGGGAGTGGAAATGAGCCCGTCGGAGATGAAGAAATCTGGAGATTCCCGTTTCCGCGCCTTCCGGAGATCCAAAACGGAACTATATATACTTTTTCAAGTCAACTTTATCAATTCTCTAAACCATTTTTAAATTTAACATATTTACATATTTTTAATTTTGTACCTATTCTAAATGATGCATCTCACATCAAAAATATCATCATTTTAATTTAAAAAATAAAAAATAAAAAATACTCATTTTCATGTATATATATATATATATAGTGCTTTAAATTCAAATAAGATTCATTGATCTCTTAAAAAATTATCTTGATCAAGATAAACTAGATCCATTAGTGAATTATTTAAGGTTTTAAAGCCTAATCATACAAATCTATTTTTTAGCTATAAATAAATATTATTTAAAAATAATAAATTATGTGCATTTGATGCATGTGAAATTTAAAATTATAGTTTTAAATATAAAATCTTAAATTTCAAAATAAATATGAGGGAAGTTTGCACGTTTTGCAGTGATCATTTTGAATCAGCCTCAAAATATTTTGACCAAATTATATCTGATAGTTTTCAGATAAAATTGGCATAATGCATTATAAGACATCTAATACTATGTGGTCCAATGTATAATATAGTAGTTGAAAATAAAATGAAAAACTTCAAAATAAGATGAAAATTCTAGAACAAGCTCAAACACACAAGAATTTAGCTCTAGAGCTAAAAGAACAAGAATTAATATTTAAGGTCAATTTGGCATGCATTTCTTACCACTTCGCTTTCAACACCAACACCCTTTTTTTTCTATTATTTACTTCTTATTTTTAAGAAAAATCTGTGATAAAAATCTATATTTTACAACATAATCTACTGAAATTTGATGACAATAATCAAAATTTTCAATAACAATATATATTTATAATATCCCCCATCTTAAAAAAAGATACTTTCTCCACAACTTCATCATATTAACAAAAAAAAACAACTCCCTCAAAGGAATCCTTAAGGTCTGTTCCAGACAAGCATAAGTTATTAAAAAGTTGTTGCACAATAGTACTGTCAAGAAGATGTTATAGAGAAGTTGTGTTTTGTTTGTTTTGTGCAATTGTGCAGCAGGAGTGTTGCAGATGTTTAGGATAAAAAAATTTTATGCCCCTGCGTTATTGCGTTGTTTATAACAAAATCAGTTCTGGATGCACATTACATACATGAAAACATAAATTCAGTTCAAATATTATATGATAAAAACTGACATCTCACTAAACAGTAACACAAAAATCAAAAATAAAAATAAAATTATTAAAAAAATAATAATATTATCATAATGTTGACAATTTCACGAGATAATCTTTTCTCCAATGACTCTCCACAACCGATTACTATCGAAGATGAAATCATTAAAATGATCCACCCACCTAAAAAAGTTACAGTCCTCTGATCAATTCCTTGGATAGCTGTAAAATTTTATCTCATAGTTATACTCATGTCGCAAAGTTGGCAGATAACACTACAGTCAATAATAGCAGAACAATACTTTAGAGGCATCGAAAGACATCGACTTATCTTTTCTAAAGGTTTAAAAACCACAAAGCACAAACAGTTAGATGCAATATTAGTTAAAAAAATAATAGATATACACAATTGAAGTTTTATAAAGTTGTGTGGTCTCAGAGCACAAAATATAAACCAACGAATAACTTGTCACTATAAGAACATTAGACCTTTTTAAAAAGGTTTTTTGGTTGCCTTTAAATCATGATATCAAGTTCATATGTGTCACAGAAGCATATCACCACAAAGACCAACAGTCATATGATCATAAAAAATGGGATTTTGGTTGCCTTTAAACCATGTAAAATTGTGCCCGTATGTGTCACAAAACTATATCACCAAAAAAGCCATCCAAAAAAACTCTAACAGTCATATGATTGAAAAGGGAGATTTTGGTTGCCTTTAAATCATGTCATACCTAGCTTGTATGTGTAACAAAACCATATCGCCACAAAGATCATCCAGAAGAACCCCTAAAGATATTTATGTCATCATAGACCTCAAAACAAAAAAAAAAAAGAAAAAAAGTTTATATTAAATGCACGGTTGCTAGAGGTCATCCATGTGGGAAAAGAATGAAAAAATAATTTGCACCGAAAAAAAATTTCACATGAATACCCTTATATATAGTGTCATTAAACTCAGGGTTAATGCCACTGAGCTTGAACTTTTCGATAGTTGCCACGACCGACAAATTAATGGATAATCAATATGTTGGTTTAATTAAAAAAAAGTTGAAGGATTGGACATTTCATAAATTCTCACCTTCAATCTCTCGGCCATGGTTCGCTTTATAATATCTCAACCCAAGTTTACGGATCTTTGCTTTAACTCTTTCCATATTTCCACTCCTTTTTTAACTAATCTAATTTGTTTTGCAATTACATTCTATCATGTTCTCTATATGTATGTCATCCTTCATTGTTAAAATAATTGGTTGGTCTATTTCCTAATTTCACATCTTTAAGAGAAAGATCTCAAAATATTAGCTTCACCGCTTTATCCCACATGACAGACGAATTAATTTATTTTGTCTTACCCAACACGGCTACTAGTATTAAAAAAAATAACATAAATTTGTGGCAGAGCAGACAATATAATTTATCTCGTAAAAACATAAAGTACCATTTAAAATCTCATAGCTTGAAAAGCAGCAGAAAATATACATCTGAAATCTATTAACACACCAGCACATCATCATAACCAACACACTACCACAAACACACTACCACATCATCACAGCTAACACATAGTCACCACACACTAATCATCCACACAATCATATCATCAAAACCAACACATCGCCATCACCACAACCAACACACATACCACCACCACCACCATCACACATTAATCATCTACACTCAACCACAACATCAACACCAATACACCACCACCACATCATCATCAACACCAACACAACACCACCACCACATCATAACACCAATACACCACCATCACAACATCATCATAACCAACACAAGCCATCGCCGTCGCCACACATTAACCATCTACACACCACCACATCATCAACACCAACACAACACCACCACCACATCATCAACACCAACACAACACCACCACCACATCATCACAACCAACACGCTACCACCAACACACCACCAACACTACCATCGCCACCACACATTAACCATCCACACCATCACATCATCAACACCAACACACCACCACCACCACCACCACATCATCAAAACCAACATACTACACCAACACCACCACCACCATCAACCCAACATAACAATACCACACCAACAAACCACCATCACCACACCACAACATACCACAATCACCACACCAACACACCACAATGCACAATCCATCTGATTAAGAGGGCCAACATCAAAAGCAACCCAATTGAACAAAGAGAACCAACCACCAAATGCAGCCCAACCAAACGATGGAGCAGCAAAACCAAAATTTCTGTTCGCATATATACATGCCACAAATCACAATGAGCAACCCATTTGATATGTCACAGAAAAAAGACAAACCACTAATAGCAACCGAAAAAGAAGTGCCAAAGAGCAACCTCCAATGTCATAAGAAAAAGAAGTGCAAATTCAAAGTTCATTCCTTCCAGAGGCCACAAACCGCAAACAACAAGCCACAAACCACATTGAACCAGAAACCGAATAGAGCAAAAAGCACAAACAACAAGAACAAAAGTATCCAAATTTCAAAGGAACAAAGAAATGAAAAATTTTGAAATCATGTCCTTCCAATAGAGAAATTTGATTTCTCCGTGGAGCAAAAAACACAAATTGTAAAGAGCAAGCCACACACGACAATGAACCTCAAATTGTAAAGAGCATAAAACATAACCACAAAGGGAAGCGATAGAGGATACCAAAGGAGAACAGAAATCAAAGGAAACAGACAGAGCCGGATGTCGGAGAAAAGCAAGAGAGGAGAAAACAATCCCGTGCCACCGGAGCCAGAGATCAGAGAGAAGTGAGAAGGGAGAAGATACCTAGGGCAAAGACGCGAGTGAGGAGAGAGGGACAGTCTCGCCAGAGAGTTTGAACAACGACGGAAAAGGAGAGTAGTCAAGAAATTAAATCGCAAAAAAATGCAGACCAGAAAGTCAAACCCGCAACTCACGTTTAAGGCCCCAGTTACTAAATCGTTGTTGTACCACTACAACCAAACAGAATTTTCCATGTTCTAACTGCGCCGCAGCAAATAAGCCTCCCCAAGCAAGCCCTTAGTCATCATTTGAAGCTTTTTTTTTTTGCATTTAAGTTGTAATTATAATTATGTTAAAGATTTGCGCGTAACTCAATAATCATAAAATAAAATTTAAAACATATGTAAAAAATAATTTTTATATTTGATTATATTTGAATTCTGTTGGTGCGCTGTTTAGAAAAAAAGAATGCAAATTCATTTCAAAATTACTTGTAGAAGCTAACTAACAAGTTTTTGGAAGACGACTGAAAACTCACCCCTCAAATAGTTTGGCATCTTGTGTATCTGTTGACTCATCTCATCGCGCAATTATCGAGAGGATTATAATATCAAATTACTAATAATTGAATCATTTTTAGGATATAGGATCTCGTATTGTTCGAGAGTACATACAATCTGGCAAAGGACCTTGTTTCTTTGAAGAAATGTTAAGGAAAAGGGAGAGAAGGAAAATAGCTCTTTGAGGATCCTTAAAAAATATATTAATTTATTATCTCCAATAAGCCGAAGAAAGGTTGTTCCTCTGAGGAACCTTGAGTTTCAGGATCCCCGGGAGAGAGGGAGGAAAGGAAGGAAAACCGAAAATTTAAGACTTTTAGGAGGAGTGGAAGAAAATCCCCTTCTCTCTCATTTGTTCTCCCTTTTTATACATAAGAGAGATTATAAATTAATCTAAATAGTACATTCGATAATGTATTGTTCCCTTAGTTCATTATCATGATATAAAGTCAATATTGAATATGTCAAATATCGCCAACTAATGTAAGATATTGTCGGTTCGATGGGCTTCCTCGGTAACTTGTCGAAAGGATTGAATCGCCAGTGTCAGGCAGCGCTTTAATGAATGATTGACACATATCTTTGTTAGTCGTGATGGTTCCTCGGATTGCCCCCGTCATATAAATAGACTAAGTTATCTTCTTGAGGAAGATAAAGATAATTGGATCGGCCCCTACCCACAACTAGTATTGCCTCAACTAGTTTGCATCTTGCTTATTTGTTGACTCATCTCATCGTGCAACTACCAAGAGGATTACAATATCAAATTACCAATGGTTGAATCCTTTTTAGGACTTGAGATACAACATTGTTCGCGAGTACATACAACCAAACAAAAGGCCTTACTTCGTTGAAGAAGTGCTAGGGGGAGAGATCGATAATATTCTTTTAAGGGAGCCATAAGACATAAATTAATTTATGATCTCCGATAAGTCGGAGAAAGACGATTCCTCAGAGGTATCTTGATTTACAAAATCCTTGAGAGGGAGGGCGGTAGGGATGGAGCGAAAGAGAAAACCAAAGATCAAGGAGTGTAAGAAGATCCCCTTCTCTCTCCTCCCTTCTCCCCTTTTATACATGAAAGAAAAAGATTATAAATTAATCTAAAAAGCACGTTCAGTAATGCACCGTTCCCTCTCTCCAATATCTTAATATAAACTCAACAATGTAGATGTCAGATACCGCCGACTAATTTCAGGCATTGCTGGTACGATAGTCTTTCCCGATATCTGGTCTAAAGAACTAAATTACCAGCGTTTGACGGCATCTGTAATAAGCGATTAACAGATGTCTTTTGTCGTCACCACGGTTCCTCTCATGACCACCTTCGTATAAATAGACTAGGTTATCATCTTGAAAAAGTTAAAAATGATCGGATCGGCTCCTATGTTAGGTAGGTTCGATGTAGGCACCTCGGTAGATGGACTTGATTAAGCCACCTTAACAAGTGGGCACAATTCAGGCACTTCGACAGGTAGGTTCTATTCTTTAAGAGGATTTCAACGAAAATTTACCGTATACTCTCATTTGTGTATACACCAATATAATTACAACATAAAAGTAGACTCCAAAGAAACCATCACAAAAATCTCAGCCAGCATATTAACACGCAAATATGATAAGCCACCAGCCTTTTCTTTGAAGAGAGTACAATCTTTAATAAAATTAGGTGAATTCAGTTTTACTGTACGGGATACACAACTATCTCTATCATCTCTGCTTAAACAGCCATAATTACGGCTAAAACTTGTGTCGGCGTTGTTGTGTCTACCATATACGCCAATGAGGAAATGAAGAAGCACTTACAGTATGAGAATCAGTAAGCAGCAAAGCATAACACCTCTTCTCACTCTGCTGGTATCTGAAGCAGTTCTCGGATACCTTCGCAAACCTGAAAGTGAGATTCATTAATACAATTGTAAAGAATAAGTGTGATGGATAGGTTCCCCCAAATCATACAAACATACCTACAACCAAAGTCAATACAGAAGTTATATTTAATCTGAATCAATTTAAGTCTATATATCTTTCCCACCATGTTAAATCTCGCGATATATAAATGACGAGCTTCATAATTTTCTGTTTAACATATATACCACCATTTTAATTTTTAAAAGTGAAGTACACCTTTTGATGCCTAGGTAAGGTGTTTAAGATGTAAAAATTGAAGTTTAGGTGGTTATACATAGAAATTGAATGATATGTAAGTAAATCATCCTTTTTTTTAATAATCTTATATCAGATATGTATATACATAGAAATTGAATGATATGCAAGTAAATCATCCTTTTTTTTAATAATCTTATATCATAGAACCATTATAGAATCAATGAGACCATTCATTAAGATGTAAGCTTCATATGCTTGATACATTGCTAAATCATCTTCAAAAGTAAAAATATTACATACTATCATATTTTATGGTATAAATGTAATATAAACCACCTTGATTTTATTATAAATGCTGCATGCTTGAAAAAAGTAAAAATTTATGGAAGAAATATTAAGATATAGAAGGATATTTCCAGCACATTAGAATATCAAGAATAAAAGTTAAGAGATTCAAACATGACAGGCATTATTGGTAAAAACTGCTAAGAGTATTACTAATTTTTTCAGCATTGCCATTCAAAACAAGATCTAGAGCACTTCCATACTCCTGATATCTTAAAAGTTATAAAATTCAACTTTGATAACAGAAAATATACTGATTAAAAATAAGAACAAAATATAAAAGTGCAATGAAACTATTCAGCAATAGCAATATGCCAATTGCAAATGAAGACTACTAAATCAAAAGCAAACATACCAATTTGATCTGGGCTTTCACTGTAGCTATTAGGTGGGTATAATCTTCTATTTGTCTGCCAAAAAAAAGAGCAGAAATAAGTTAAAATAGAAACAAACACAACTTTTTTGTTTTAATTTTTTTTAAAATATCAAAGACAACAAAACAAGATTAGCGGGCTATTGATGGCAAGTTGGGCCACACGTTGAATACTGGCATTAGAATATATGTAACAGTATATTGAAAGTACTTTGTTCAGCCCAATTTTTCTCATTTGAAGTATACAATATTGAGCCGAATAACTACACATCAATCCCAATAGCTAAACCAATTTCCTTGCTAACTACTTGTGCTGAAAAAATGATACAATCTAGCCAATCAGACCCCTTACAATGAGATATTTGATTGTCCCCGAATAGTATCATCGCCCCTCTCTGCATTTACAATGATTAATTTCAAAAGGATAACACAAACAGCTCAAATGTCTCCACCTTCTCAATAACGGGTGAAGTTATCACATCCTATCATTGAGCAAAAGGAGAACGCTCCAAAATCACACACATGTCGATCGAGGGTATGCATCTTCTCGCATGATCAGTAACTCAATATCTTTTCGGTTCATCACAAGAGCATCTTCCTCTCAATTTATAAAATCTCAAACTGATAAAAAACTATTACACCGAAATTCTTGAATCAAAACCAACAATTTGACAAAAGCTGCTATTTCTTATATTTTAGATATCAATGGTGAAAGATTATTATATTTCTTCTTCTTGGGTCATCCTGGAGGTATCTAGGAAATAAAACATTTCCTCACGAATATATCTTTGATAGAAATATTTATGGAGCTACATTAATTTCTTTAAAATGTATTGAAATCCAACATAGTTTTAATGAGATAAATAAATTTATTGCTTATAGTAAAACAACTATTCATAGAGTTATAAATAATAAAGAATGAGGCCGTACTCCATATCAAATAAACACAATCAAATATATAGCCTCATAATCTAGTTATCCAAAAACTATTTCTTTTAATTATTCAATTTATATTGAAGGTATGAATAAAAATTTTTGTTATTAATCATAGAAGAAAACATTCATGGATGATCCTAATGATGATTGAAATCTTATCCAATGAAATACCACATTGGTTCTTGTTGATTTTTAGAATTAAGCGGAATTATTTTATTGATACGAAAAGGAGATATAATACCCTTACATGAATCTTAGAACGAAAAGGAGATATAATACCCTTACATGAATCTTAGAATAGGAAAATACAAGAAAAAAGAAATAACATAAAAGGAAAGACATAACATATATATCTTCATTTAATCAATTCATAATAATTAATTGAAAATAAATGAAACAATATAAATTAGAAAACCCTAAAATAAGACAGGAAACAAATCCAATCTAAGAAAATAATCTAAAATAGAAAAGAAAATAAATCAAATCCTCATAACTTCTAATAGGAATAAATTATTTCCTAATATAACTTCTAACACTCCCCCTCAAGTTGAAACATGGTTGACAACCATCAACCATGTTTAACTGTTTAACTTGGATTTGAAAATTTCAAACAATCGGCGAAGAATATTCTTTGTGAGGTAGAGTTTGAAGTCTTATTCTCGTACTTAGTAATCAGCCTCAAGAACATTTAGGATAGTTTTAGTTGGTTGTGGTTATTTTTTATTGTAGTTATGCAGTGTCGGTAAGTAAACCGAAAGCTCCTACAGGTACTGTTGCAGGAAAATTTGCAGGGAAGTATAAGCCATACAGGAAAAGGTTCGGAGGTAGGTATGTTGCAGGAAAAGGCTCCAGAGGAGCGCCCTACTTCAGGAAAAGGCTCCGAAGAAGATATTGTTGCAGGAAAAGACACCGAAGAACATCTTGCTTCAGGAAAAAGCTCCGAACGGCTTGCTACAGAAAAAAGATCTGGAAGACGGTTAGTCGCAAGAACAAGCTTTGGAAGATGGTCAGCTACAGGAAAAAACTCCGAAAAAAGGTATACTGTAGGAAAAAGCTCCGGAGGAGGGCCCGTTGCAGGAAAAAAACTACGGAGGAGAGCTTGTTGCAGGAAAAAGCTTCGAAAGATTGCCTCTTGCAAGGAAAAGCTATGAAGGATGGTCTGCTGCAGAAAAAAGCAGAGATAAGCTCAGAGAGAAGCTCCGAAGGCGGGCCTACTGCAGGAACTGAAGGATGGTCTGCTGCAGAGAAAAACAGAGAGAAGCTCCGAAGGCGGGCCTACTGCAGGAAAAAGTTCCAGAGGGTTTGCTACACAAAAAAACTCCAGATGCGGGCAACAAAGAAAAGCTCCGATGGAGAGCCTGCACCATAAAAAAAATTTAAACTCAATTCCTCATCTAAAGTGAAGGTGGATGGCCCATTTGAGCTTATTTCATGTGTTTGTTCCATAACAACAGCCCTAATGTAAGGTTGTTTAACTCCTACAACTCCTTTTTGAGCTATAGATGCCTAGAACACACCACGAACGCTGATAAATGTAAGCCTTGTGCCTGGAACAACAAATTGGACCGGGTGACGATCCAACGAGAGAAGCACGTTTTTAGGAAGTTCTCTACTAGGTACGTTGTCTGGATTTTTCTGCAGCTTAACTGTCTGAATATCTACATATTTACTCTTATCAGGTGAAATAACCATGGATCTACTGGGCAAGGCTCTTCACCGGGCTGAGGAACATAATCACAAGACCTTGGAATAATGGCGCCCCCCAAGTCCAGGACGACAAGCCATATATTTGATGTTCTTACAATTCTTGTATAAGAGAGTTACATAAGTTGCCTTGGACTTTACTCGAGAAACTGTGATTGTGATTCCAGCAATCTTCACAAGCTTTGAAATGTTCAGCCCTAATGGAACACATGGAAACAGAGTTCTAATTGGATGAGAGAAAAATTTGGACATCTCCCGTGACAAGCTCCTCAATCTCACCCGTCTCGTCGACAACTTGAGACCGAAGACTCGCCAGCACCTCAGCAACTGCTGTTTCCAACAAGGGAAAATTTTGGGCTGGGAGCTTTTGGATCTTGCCAGCCAACTCTGCATCAAACATGCCCATGTCTTCCATGGGGATAAAGAGGTGGTTCGGCTTGTAAACAAGGCTCCCGCAATAGAGAAATTCGCCCTTCTCACTAGAGAAGCCACGGATGACCTTTTGAACTAGCAAAGGGAGGCGTGGCAGGTGAGGAAGCCATGGTCTCAATCGTCGTTGCCACGCAGAAAATGAGCCTAGTCGTTGTAGAACACTGCACTCTCGTCCCAACCAGACATCTCACATCTCCATCAGATCAAACTTCCAGCAGCGCAATTTACCACTGGAACCCAAGAATTTGGTTTGGTGTATCAATGGCGGTGAGGAGCAAGCAACGGTAGGATATCCCGCAAGAGAGCGTATAATAAACATAAACTTTGACTGACAGGGGAGAGGAATTCTGACAGCTAAATCCTGTAAGGAGTTCCGACAGTGAGAAAGGCTGTAGAAAGGAATTTCGGCGGCGGCAAAGGTTGCAGGAATAAATTTCGACGGCGGGGCTATAAAGAGAAATTTTTCGGCAGAAAATCTGAAAAGAGGAGGTGGGGGGGAAGGGTCTTCAACACAGCAAAAATTGCGGGTTGCGGATCATAGGAAGTTTCCAGCGACAGGAGACTTTAGGGTTCGTTTCAAGGCTCAGATATCATGTTGATTTTCAGAATTCAGCGGAATTATTTTATTGATATGAAAAATGGGTATATAAATACCCTTACATGAATCCTAGAATGGGAAAAAAAGGAAAAAGAAATAATATGAAAGAAAAGATATAAAACATATAACTCCAATTAATCAATTCATAATAATTACTTGAAGATAAAGGAAATGCATAAAATAGAAAATTTCTAATAAGAATAAATTATGTTTTAATATAGCTTATAATAGTTCTATCAATGATGGGATAATTGTGGAGCCATAACACAAATTCTCCCTAATCCAATCAAATCAAAGTATTCTTAATGTTTTGAATCTTCCCTGCATATTTCTAAAATTCCAATCAAAATATTAATAGATGGTAAAACTGAATTATTCCTTTTTACTCAATGCCATATTCTGTCATGGAATTTAAAAATTCGGCATAACTCTTTCAATCAAAATGTTTATTTAGAAATTTTTTTGACTGCTATTAGAAAATGATGAAAAAGTGACATCTATTAATAAAGAAATTCAAATGAATAAAACCAATCTCTCAAAAAAACCCTTTCAAAGAAGAATTTTTGTTAAAATATTTATATAATCAGTTTAGAAGAAAATTCTCCAATGAATCAGCTGATATGTCAGATAATTGGGAAGATTTGCACCAAGCAATAATTCAGAAGAAAGAATAATTCTAGGTGAAAAAAATAAAAATGATGATCCCACCACTAATGCCAGTACCAATCAAGTTTTACTGACCATCACAAAAATCGAGCACGTGGTTCCATTATTAATACTAATCAATGCGAAAAAAAAGATCATGTGATTCTGCTGCTTTCCCAATCCATTAAGAAAAGAATTTACTACTTTTAGTGCTTATTATAATTCGATCTAAGTTTTTTAAGTCCTTTGTATGTTCAAAAGTTTATATATATAGTCCCACGCCTGTATGTGGCGTGTGCAATTTTCGGATAAGCCTCTGGTTCTAGTTCTCTCATAGTTGCAAGTGCGGTCTAGAAGAAGTCTCATTAGTCTGTAGTATGTAAGTATTATTACTAAAGCTTTGTTGTGAGATATCTTTTTGTTATTTTCTCTGTTTTTCTTTAGTTCTATAAACATTTAACCATGTTAACTAAGTTCTACCATTACTTCTTCTTAATCCTATAAACCAATTTTATATGCTCATATATCAGGTACATTCTTCTCATTGTTGTACACACTCAAGCCACCTAAGTCTAACTTTAATTACCTTATCTTCAATAAATATCACTCCGGTTATTCATCAAATGATCATTCATAATTTATTCTTCCTAACTTCATCACAAATTATCTCAACGTTCTCATTTCTTACACATTCAAATTACCAATCAGCAATTTATTGCTGCCCAAAACTCAATTCTGTACATCAACTGCCCAATTGCAGTTTTAAGAAATATGCATTTTAAGCCTCAAAGATATCCTTTTTTCGCATAATACTCTTAAGATACTTTTCCATCATAACAAATGAATCTTAACTCTAAAAGTTATATCATTTGATCAAAGATATTAAAATTTATCGTGCCTACATATCACTTTATCTTCTGATAATATCAATAGACAATTGTTAATATAACACCAACAAACATCGCAGATCATATAATCAATTTTATTGTACAAAATCTAAGAGCTCCATCTTCTAAAGAGCTTCTCTATTATGATAACATTCCACCACTTTCAGCAAAATGTCACACCAATTAGAAATACGTTATTACAAAATGTATTTATCAAGATACACTTTGAAAACCCTTTGATAGCATCCCCATAAATAATAAAAAAGGAATATGAACACAATATCAATCATAATATAATCCCATCATAATTGAGGACTTTTGGATCAACCCAAAACTATTTATAATACTGGTTAGTCCATCATTACATAAATTTAAAACTTCAATGTGCCTTTAACACAACTATTTTTCCTAATGTATGCCAAATTAATTCATAGTATAATCGATAAAAACACTCTTGAAACCAAATAAATCATATAAAAAACCTTTATTTATTTCTACGCATTCTCATAATTGTCTTAACAAAAAAATTATTTCCACGGTTGATCTTGATCTTCCGGGTATTAAATCCTATTAAATATTCACGCATTCTCATAATTGTCTTAACACAAAGATTATTTCCACGGTTGATCTTCCGGGTATTAAATCCTATTAAATATTCAAAAACTGACATAATTTTTCTTAGTTTGTGTTCCCTTAGCCACTCCAACAGTTTCATTTGACGATTTGTTAGCAAAAAGCATAACCTTAAACACCTCGTTTGATCTTAAATACCATCGTCAAAATATTTTCTCTCTAATAATTTGACTGTATTTGTCCTCAAATTCCATCGGGAAAAAAAAATAAATGAACCATCATAACATTCCCATAACTCTTCAAGCTTTACTTATATGTATCCTCTTTAGAGCAACCACTATTTCACTTTCTAAGATTAATCTGTGTCGTCATCATTAGTCTCATCATCAGTATTAGGGTTGATTTAATGAATAATCATATTTTACTAGCTCATATTGACTGCTATCACAAGGCATTTTAATCCCCCTTGACCTTAAATGTGACTAATATATACACCTAAAAACTTATCACTTAAACCATCATCAAAGAAAACATAAATCACAAAGATAGCCTTCAAAGATGAGTCAAACCAAAGCATCCAATTTGGTCCCCAAATAAAGTAAATCTGCAAATTAAAGAGAAATAAGATAACTGGATGAACTACTTTTTCCTCACCAGATTTTTTAATGAAAGTAAAGGTCCTGGTTCAAATTAAATGATAATGTTAGGCAAAAAAACAATAATAATAATAATAATAAAATATTAAAAAAATGATAATGTAGGCTGTGAAAAAAATATAAATAGTAATTGAACAGACAATATAAAAAAAAATTATCAATTTTGCAGTCCAGATAAATACAGAAAAACCATGTACACAGGAGTGTTTACCGTCCTACAGAAAAAGACAACTGATTTGAATATGAATACACTTTGCCCCTAACCTCAATCATTCTCACTTGGTTCATAGTTCAAATTCACATGATTCGGAAAAGATATTTGAATAAAAACTGCAATGTAATAAAAAATTGCATAAATACTTGGCTAATCTCGACTCTCTCACTGAAATGAATTCCAAGGCTTCAGACCAAGTAAATTCCACATGAAAACCCATTCCAATGTCAACAAAAATATGTCGTGTATCAGGCCTGCATAAATATAATAATTAAATTAAGGAAAATTGTAATATATATATACATATATATATATATATGTAAGACAATAAATAGCAAGATAGCAAGAGAGGAATAGAACATGGATGCAACACGGCCTCTTTTTAACGTATTATATTGAACAAACAATACTAATTAAACAGCTACAAAGGCTGCAACTATTAATATGCGTGCAAAGGTTTTTGAATCTGATAATGGGAATTTTACATGTTGCATTATTATATGTTCTTTCACCCAAAAAGAAGGCATAAACCAATCTGATTATCAAGACTTAATGTAAGTTGTAAAAATTTGCACTTTGACGAGCTTTCTAGAACATCTCGTACTTACATAGCATCTCTAGTGATCTTATGCTTGTTAACTTATACACATCGTTGATATTTTGTTTGTACAAATCGAATATGTTTCTCGGCCAATGGTTACATCTACGATTGCTATCCAGAGAGGTCATGTTATGATACGAATTTCATGACAGTAAAATCTTACATTAGTCTAAAAAAACTTAATTAAGAAAAAACTGAATATCATAGCATGTGCAAATCCAGTGCATGAGCCACATTTGACAGAAAAATATTTAGGGACATTTACATACAAAGAACAAAATTCATATGTTTTTACATCTCTCACGTCAAAACTTTCATATTTACACATATAGCACTCAATTATTTAAATTATTTAATATCATATAATAAATTGCATTATTACCACTTTTAAAAATCAAATACATAATATCATATAAGAAATTGCATTATTACCACTTTTAAAAATCAAATACACCGTTTCATGCATAAGTTCAAAGTACCATAGACCGTTTTATGCATAAGTTCAAAGTACCATAGCACGTAAATATGGAAGTTCAAGTGTGAGATATGTAAATATATAAGAATTGTGCTAAAGAAAGTGTAAAATTATATGGGGACAAAGTAGTGAGGCAAAGATATATGTTTGTGCTAGTCATCTCCAAGCCAAACTAGGCAACCTAATTGCACAATGGCTTATGATAGAGCCGTTGTGCAATGATGCAAAAACATACCACGTGTGCTGTAACAATGTTTTACATACAGTTAGTTTCTACACAAAAAAGAATGCCATATACAATTACAAGCTTAAAAAAAGACTAAGTCTTGATAAATATGATTGAATAGACACAATGAAACCTAAACTTGTAACTACTGGTTACATTTTATACTAAGAATATTTACATACATACCACTCAATTCTAATGCATTTATATAGACACGTAAACGTCAATTTGTACACGTATGACACCTTACCCAGACATGAAAAGGTTTATTTCACTTTTTAAAAGTTAAAATAGCGACACATTTTATGTGACATGAAAGATTTGGGTGGTATAAAATGTAAAAATTAAAGTTTAGGTGTTAGATATATAAATACATAAGATTTGGGTGGTATGTATGTAAATGCCCCTTAATACTATCGTGCAACTATTTGTTGTGTTTCTGAAATAGTCATTATTAATCTCGCCTGAGAGCGGAGGTGCTCTCCAAGATTGCTTCTCATGATCATGAAGAAGATGCTTGTGCAGTTTAGACTTTTTATAGCAAATTTCCCACATATAAAAAAAAAACCTTGACATGCTTTTTGTATTATAAACCGACACAAAATATAAATATCACAAAATGAAGCATTAAAATCGCCATTGTAAAGAACATATTGAACATTTTTTCAAGATAAATTAAAATATGACAGTCACTTTCGAAAAGGGATAGAGGGAAATTATATATAGGATCAACAGGATAAAATCAGAAAGTGACTCCTACTCTAAATAATAATTATAATCCTAAACCAACAATAACATAACTATGAATGGCATCATTGTAATCCCCCACTTTCCTAAGAAAAATTAAACTATGTACATAGGAAGGTAGAAGAGACAAAAAAGTGTTAAACTATGTAATTAACTATCTTGCAAAAAAAAAATTATTAAAGTAAATCTAGTTATTGAAGGTTAAAGCAAAATAAAAATGTAAAAAGGATTGAAGCAACCTCTATGTATATGATATCCCTATGCATAGAATTAAAGCAAAATAAAAAGTTTTAAACTATGAGCTATGAACTATCTGCAACCTATGTACATAATTATAGCAAAAGAAAAAAGTAAATTGAAATTTTGTTCCTCAACATATTATTATTCTAACTAATAATTATTACAATAATTAATTAATTTATAACTTTGGACCGATGCGAAGTTATTTGTCAAAGTATTACTTGATGATGTTCATATGCATGATAATTGAACAAAGTCTAAAAAAATCTCCCAATAATTTTTTGACAAATACGAGATAGTCGACAGAGTGTTATCAAGTAGCGTTAACTTGAGTTATATGATGTCTGATGTCAGACGATGACAACGATCTAATGATGGTAGATGGACGGTGCGGTCAAATGACAACGGATAGCCAACGATGATCGGATGATATTAATAGGGTAGTAGTGGATTACTGGTTTGATGGCAGTAGACAGAAAGTAAAGGTTCAGTGGTGGCAGCCCCACGACAATGTTATGGTGATAGCAGTCCAATGAAGGCTGTCAAACGGCGGTGGACGAGTAGTGGAAGTTCAACAGTAGCGAAGGGGAGGCAGTAGCCTGATGGTAGTGGTCGGACCATGCAGACCCAATGGATATGGTCGATCGCAGTGACCCAATGGTTGCAGAATAGAGGTGGCAATCTAATATCAATAATCGGATGGTGATGATCAAATGGTGATGGACAGGCAATGGTTAAAGACTACCTAATGATAGTGAATAGTTGTGGTGATTAAGTAGAGCTTAAGGATCCTCCATATCTCTGAGCTCCCTTCGATCTTCATTCTAGCTCTTAATCCCCTCCCTCCAACTCCTCCATGCATAAAATAGAGCTCTATTTATAATTTTTTGGAGTGATATCCTCCGTAAACACCACTAAGATACAATAACTCTCTCACATAGCTCATAATGATCTGCATGATCACAATGTGTTCTTTGAATGTTTGGATGCCTTAATGATGTTAAAATTAACTGATCTATGGCTTATTCTATTCATCTTATTAAAGTGTTTGATTGATTATAAGCTTACAAGTTTTGAAGGTTATTTGATCATCTAATTAAAGTCACAACATTTTTAATTATGCCTTAAATGCATTGTGATTCCAAAATTGGGGTTTGAATAGAACTAAATTTAAATCCTAAAATTTTCAATTCCAAAATGCGCCAAGATTCATGCTTGAACAAGTGAATTTTTTTGTGCCACGTCAATTATGATGTTTAAATCATTTGAATATAATAAATTTAACTTATTAAAAAAATAAAATAAAAATAATGTTTTGATTACAAAATTTATAGGAAGCTGCCTAGAGCATTGCTCCGTGGAAGCTATTTTTCAGCTTTTATACAACTGAACTTCTTATCACAGATGCTACACAAAATTAAAAAGCCAAAAATGGGTAGAAAAAATATGGCGGATGGATTATAAATCTAAGGAGATAAAATGTGGAGCAGTGATGAATCAGAACTGGTGCTTACACATCAGCTTGCATGAAGACTTCAGACCCGAGATTAACCATGGTGCGGAGAGAAGTCACGCCATTCTTCTCCAAGTTCTGTATATTCCTCCTGAGATCTTGGCTGGTGGCAGTAGCAAATCAGCTTAATAAGCAGAAACAAAAACCAAGGTACAATGGAAGATGAGGACGCAACAAAAAAAGAATTGCAGAAGGATACAAGACTTTCTGCCGCTGGAAAACCTTATCCCTGCCAAAGATAAAATGAATGGAAAACAAAAAGTTCAGTGTTCTACTGGTGAAGATGGCTAACAGATACAAATGAGGAGAAAATTTACCGTTGGGCGACAGCTTTGACGAGGTCCGGCTTGAGGCGACGGTCCACGAATTCCTCAAACTTGCGCACCTTCTCTTGCCGGGAAGCGATTTCGTCCATGAATTTAGCCTCAAGGAATCTGGGATTTCAGAAACAAGTGAAGCCTGTCTGGTAACGGATTTAGAGCGGGATTTAACCTAAATCTTGCCAGTCGGTCATTTTGGACAAAATACAGCCGCGATTTGATAAAACCCGGATTTCATACGCGTACTTAGTAAATCCGGAAGAGCGACGAAAAATAATGGATCGGACAGGCTTACCTTCCTCAATTGTTTCGAGTAGGAGTGGAGCGGAAGGAGCAAAAAGATGGCGTTAGGGTCGTCACTGTACGCCGAGATACTGTGTTAGCCTTCCCAGCTAGCTCTAATTGCTACTGTATCGCGAGGGTTCGGTTTATACACGAAAGTGACAATTTAGGTCGAAAAGGCAGAGGGGGAGGGACATGGGCGCGAGTTTCCGGAAGAGAGCGAAGGGCCGGTCAAGCGTGGTGAGGTGGTAAGCGAGGCTTTCTGGCGGCGTTTTTAACTTAATTTTATTTATGTTAGTTTTATTAATTTAATAGATTAATAGTTAATAACTGATTAATGTATTATAAGATATAAATCTGAATTTAACATTAACGGAAAGTAAAATTAGAACTTTAAATTCAAAATTTCATAGATTCATGAAACTTGTGATTTTTTTTTTTATTGAATTTAGTAAATTTTGGCCATAAATCCTATTAATGGGGAGCTACCAAACACCCCCTACATATAACCAAATAAATTTATATTTAGTATTTAATTGTTAATCAATAAAAGTTATATATTATTTTTTTTAATTATTCAATTGATTTATAAATAATTATTAATTAATATAATTAATATGTATTTAATATTTACTTTCTAAATGTTCAATAAATAAATAATTTAGTAAGATTTTTATTAATAATTACTTATTTTTTGTGAATATATAAGTATTAGTTACAATATTTTGAAATAAAATTTTAATTTCATTTAATAATTGATTTTTATTATAATAGTAAAATAGATTATAATCCTCTAAATCTTAGCATAGTTTGTCACATAATTTGATAGAATTCAACTAAATTTATTAAATCTGTTGTAAGATAATTTCTCGCATTTAATCACCCAAGATTTGTTAAATTTGGATTTATAGGATTAAGTAAATCTACTTGAGTTAAAGCTCAACACTTGTCATGCAACCCCTTTAAATAGATGATGGAGCGAGTCAATATAATATGGGTCTAATCATCAATATTACTATCAATATTACAATATATACATAATGATGAATATTGGTAATCTCGCCAAAGTATAACACACTTTCTCTGTGCATCGTGTGGTAGTATAATAGTGCTACTTTTGATTTGGTGTTGAGATTTTGAATGTTATGTGCGTAAATGTGGAGGTTTAGGTTTGAAATATATAAAAATTCCCCTTTTAAAGGGAAATTTAGATACCTAACGTTGCAGGATGTTAGTTAGGGCTGTTAAAAAAGCTCGTTGCTCTTGAATAGTTCGTGTTTGGTTCTTCAATGAGTTCGTGTTCGATTCGTTTGATAAGTAAACGAGATGAACGTGAATAAGTTTTTTTCGTTTTGTTAGTTAAGCGAACCAAACACGAACGGTGATGTGTTCGTTTGTGTTTGAATCATTATTGTTCGAAATATAAAACAATTTAAAATAATTATACATAATAAATTTATGATATTTTAAAAAATTAAATTTTATAAATTATAATATATAATAAATTAATAATAATAATATATT